TCTATGTAACCTTCATTAGTTAGATAAATTACCTAACCTCTATGAATGTCAGTTACTGTATCCTTAGTATCCTTAAAATGTGAGTGATACAGTATCTACATTGCAGGGTTGTTACAAAGATTATATGGGGTAATGTAAACTGAGTGTTCAGCACATAATAGGTGCTGTTGTTACTGTCATTGGATTTACAACTTTTGCTAAAAGCAAAAGGCTACATTGTAGAAAACAGTTTCACACTGTTGATGGTTTAGCATTCATTAACAGTTAACATGTTTTTCCAAGGGGTTGTGTATGTCCCCCAAAGACAAATGAATTTCATTTGGATCTAGTGCCTATGATGTGTGAGTTTTTAAAATACCGTGTTATTCTAACACTTTACCAAAGATTAGCATTTTGTACTTAATTAAGGTCATGTCTTTTATATGTCACTGAGAAATGCTATTGTCACATAAATTATGATGATAACAATGTGTTATAAGTTATATAATATGATTTACCTAGGCAAGACCAATTTTAACTTAAAAACTTTTGAAGGATTGATATTTTTCTATAGCTCCACCTAAGAAGATATTCTTAATCAAAAACATTGACAGTAGATTTTTAACTTTGCTATTTTAAGACTATTTTCACTCAGTTTACTGGCATGTATTTAAACTGCTAAAAATGTTAGTCAGCTAATAAGGTTGCACTGACATCTGCTGGTAAGGCAGCAAGTTCTGTAAAAATCATGTTTTATAAATATAATGGAATCGAATAGTTTAATTTCCCTTTAAAACTCGTGTTCGCATTCTGGGTTTAACAAATTAGCTGCTGTACGAGATAATTTCTTTTTTTTTTTTTCCTTTTTGTCTTTTCTCGTGTCCGGCAATGGACTGCAACCCTCAGTGTTGCGCCCGTACCGGATCGGGACCGGCAACGGGATCGCAACCCTCGGTGCTGCGCCCGCCCCTCGCTCAGCCAGTGAGCGGGAACCGGTCTGTATGTGGGATCCGAACCCTCGGCGGGAGCGCCGCTGTGCTCCCAAGCAGTGCACTGTAGCAGTGTGCCACCGGGCCAGCCCCAGTACGAGATAATTTCTGATTCACAGTTCAGTTTGATTCAAATGGTTCATTAGCCTGTAGCAACTCTTGGGTCTCTTCATGACGGTCAGTGGTAACCTGTAAACAGAAGCTTTGTTAAGGAGTAAAATATCTTTTAAATCACAACCTCTTCCAGTCAGTGTTTGCCACTGAATGATGATATCATTATCACTTTCTTCATCACATCATCATCATCACATCATTTGGTTCCAAAATACTACAAATAGTGATGTTTCTTAAGTTGGAATTCACTTTGAGAAAGTACTTTTGGGTAGCTAGGCTTAGAACATAGGGGAGGCAGCAAGCTCCAACAGAGGCTAAGCTCTAGGGGATTATTTTACCTTGCCAGGAATTATAACACAGCTACTTGAAAACCTACTAATTCAACACACTGATTTAGGGCCATAGAATTTTACAACTGGAACAAACTTTACTGATCATTTAGTTTGTCCCTCTCTTTTGTAGATGTGGAAATTGAGACCCAGATAAATTTAAATAAGTTGATCATCTAGATAATACTAGAAGATAGTTTCCTGATTCTCTCAATCCAGGATTCTTTCCTATATAAATTGTCTTCACTAGCTGTATATTGTTTAAAGCAAAGATATTTGAACACACATACATATACACACATTAAGTATGCTTATTTGAGAATTTATATTTAACTTATTTCAGCTCAACCATTCTGGCTTTCTCTAACTAGAGACGTTACTAAAATACACAGTGTACCCACAAACATATACGATGAAAAAAAATTTTTAAAAATACACAGTGTACTTTGTAATATTGCTCTGTGGTGTTTCAGCAATGTGTATTTATTCACCTGTCCTTCCCAGAAAGTCAAGCTCCATCATCTGTTTCTTCAGATGTGAAAATAGAAGGAGTCATGTGGATTAGGAAAAAAAAAAAAAAA